GACACAGTTAACCAAACAATTAGAATAGCCATAATATATTAAAGGCATTAATATATGAATCTGTAGGTCTAAAAATATGTAGCACATTTGGTTAACACTTGGAAAATATAAACTGTGTATTTGTATCATCCTAAATTTCACCCATTCAAAAGATATATTCTCATAATTCATAAGGTGAAAATTCAAATATTCTTCAATGTGAAATTTGTTAAGAAAAATGAACATATTCCTGCATTAAATTTGTACCGGACTTCCCTGGTGGTGCAGTGGTTAAGATCCACCTGCTAACGTCAGGGGACATGGGTTCGATCCCTGGTCCGGGAAGATCCCACATGTCGCAGAGCAGCTAAGCCTGTGCGCCACAACTACTGAGCCCACGTGCTGCAACTACTGAAGCCCACACGCCTAGAGCCTGGCTCCACAACAAGAGAAGCCACTGCAATGAGAAACCCGCGCACTGCAACGAAGAGTAGCCTCCACTCGCTGCAACTAGAGAAAGCCTGCGCGCAGCAACAAAGACCCAACACAGCCATAAATAAATAAATAAATAATAAATAAAAATATTTGTACCTGGCTTATCATCATTATAAATAGGATATGTATACTAGAATATATATAAGTACACAGATACTTCTCAAAGGTTCCTTCATATCTACAATATATTGATGAAATTGTATAATACTGTCTACCATTACTAACGGATGAGGTAATTTTATAAATTATAAAAGGGAAAAATAACAGTGGTTTTCATGTCCTATATAATGAAATAACCTTTATATTTTGGCCAGAAAGGTGACTAAACAAGTAGGAGCTCATCAACTTAAGGTTGTAAGTATATTATATTAAATGTTGGCTTGAATTTCACAAAGGAATATTTGGCTAAGAAGGAGCTGGTAAAAAAATTTATCAGGACATCATCACTGGGAATGATTAATAAGAACAACAGCCACATGCAAGTGACCTTAAAAGAGGAAGTAATAATGAATTCTGTCCAGCTCTGTCCTCTGATGCAGCAGTGTCATTCCCAGTGGCCTCGAGGTGATTATATGCCTGAAGAGACACACTGATAGAAGTATGTTCTCTCTCTTGACCAGAAAAGGATGACCCAGTGTTAACAGGGCACCTAGAGCTTGCCATGACAAGTTCCTTATTCCCTTTTGGATTGTGTGGCATATCCTTAGTCTAGGGACCTGCCTCTTCTCCACTCTGCCCCACCTCACCCATAATGAACCAGGGAAATGTGAGTGGCAGCAGTAAGACAAGTCTTTCTGGAAAATATGTTTAAGTATGTTTCTTGTGTTTGGGCACATCCAAAATAAAAGTTTCTAAGTGAGACCTGTAGTAATGTTTATAGTCCACGGAATAGCTTTTGGTGAGCATCAAGTTAAGTTAGTTAGAATGGGTAAAGTGGTGAGTTAATTTATACATGTATAAGTGGTAACCAACCGTTAACCGTTATATATGACAGTCTTCATGTTAACCGAACATCCCTTTTACACAAAGATAGAGTTTGCAGGAGGCATACATACTATTATAAAGGCATACTAGTCTAAAGTCAACACAGCAAAAAAAGATTTCAGGAGAAACATAATATGGATACATCAAAAAGCTTTAAAATCTCAATCTCAAAATTATTTTTTACAACACTAGTATTTGTTATTTATCTGCTGAAAGTGCTCAAAAGGAAAATTTTGCTTAAAAGGAAAGTTCTCAATAAATTATTATTGTCCTTGTAATGGTTTACCATTACGTAAAGTTGGTGTTAGACAAAGTGGTAATACGGAAGAAATTTCATTCCTGGCATCTTTTTTATTTCCAAATTCTTTTATACCCACATTTCCATCCAGGCTGCTAGTGTATTATTTGCATTCTCGCACCAGTCAAGAGTATATTTCTTGTCATTCAATCAAAAACTTATCTGTTCTCTGTACCATTCCTTCTCTTCCTTCCAGGAGATAATAAATGAATGAAAATTATTTGGATTGAGTAAGTGTGAAGAGATTAACTAGATATTTTGCTACCATTTCTTGGTATCTTTAATTAACTAGAACATTGTTTCTCAAACTTTAATAGTCATCAGAATCATTGGAGGGATCCTTAAATTTGGTGGGTCGCATCCCCAGAATTTCTCATCCATTAGTGCTCAGGTGAAGCCCAAGAATCTGCATATCTAGAAGAAGTGCCCAGGTGATGCTGATGTTGCTGGCCCCTTAAGCACTGAGTTAAAGGGCTTCCCTGGTGGCAAAGTGGTTGAGAATCTGCCTGCCAATGCAGGGGACATGGGTTTGAGCCCTGGTCTGGGAAGATCCCACATGCTGCGGAGCAACTAGGCCCGTGAGCCACAACTACTGAGCCTGTGCGTCTGGAGCTTGTGCTCCGCAACAAGAGAGGCCGCGATAGTGAGAAGCCAGCACACCTCGATGAAGAGCTGCCCCCGCTTGCCGCAACTAGAGAAAGCCCTCGCACAGAAACAAGACCCAAACACAGCCAAACATAAAGAAAGAAAGAAAGAACTGAGTTAAAAATTTAATTCACTACTGTAGTTAGGTAGTGAGACATGTGACTACTCAGCAGGTTTTCTATTTCCCCTCATATTCCACAAGGTAAGTCTAAACTTAAGGCCAGCCCTGGTAGCCCTACTCTTAATATTTCAATAACATTAAATTAAAAAAGGAAAAAAAGTTTACCAATTTTCTTTGGATAGCCCATCAACAAACAAAATAAAACAAAAATCTTTTCAAAACACGAAAACAATCTCACCTAAAGTGAACTCCAATGCTTGCTTGCTACTTTAATCAGGTTACCTAGAACACTGAACTCTTTAAGATATTACTGTAGAGCAAACTTTATCCCCAATTCCTCTTTGATGAAGAGCTGAACAGTTATATGTCTCCTGTCCTTCCTCGTACATTCTTACACACAAACACAGTCGTGCTTACTGTATAACTTCTGATTTTCAAAATTGGAGTTACACTCCTGATCTTATTACCTAAAATACGATCAATGACTCTAGATTATCTGTAGGAATAATGTTGGCATGTAATTGTCAACTATGTAATAAATATATTAAAATATCTGGAAATTTCCCAAATTGTCTAAATTTTCCACCGGTTATTTTACTGTACTTTTCATTAACTCATATTCAAAAAGTGAATTAATAAGAACTCTTGAACAAATAGATATTTTTTTCTAAATACTCAAATCATTCTTTTATTCATTTATTAATTACCCATCTCTACTGCTGCACAGGAAAATGTAAGGCTTTTTGGCAGCTTAGGGAATAGTAATATTTTTTAAATAATAGTATTATATTTTGATTGAAACAAGTCAAACAACTGTCACAATCATAAGTAAGATGTGGTGTAAGCTCACTAATAGACAAGGTATGTTTAAATGTGGCATAGTTTGACAAAATAACTCCTTTTTAATTTTTTAATAGTATTGATGTTAATGTGGAAATAAATAGAACTCTTTAAAGACTAATTTTATGTGTGAAAAGATTCCTCAAGTAGCACATATTTTGGGATAACATAATTTAAGTATCATAAAAATTTGAAGATAAATTTATTCAATTTTTCTTTAATATAATCAGAGAAAAATCATGAAGAAAACACAATGCTTCCTAGGCAAGTTTTAACTAGATCATGTTATTTTTAGATTCCTAATTTCAATCATTCAATTTTTCTCTATCTGTTCCATTTCCAAAAATCTTCCTCCTATCATTATTTCCATGCAAGTAGCAATTTAGTCAAATATCCTGCCCTTCAATAAGAAGACTATCTTTGAAAGAAAAAAAGGTAAAAATGTTGATGAAGGAATCTATAAATTCTGAGCAATTTGCATTTACCATTATGTCATCAATTCTATAGCAATCATGTTCAAAATAAATAACATAATCAACACTCCTTTCTTCATCCAAAATATCCCAATTTTAGCTCATGTCTGGATAACTATGAAGCTACTTCTAACTTAAAATTATATATTTTATGTCCACTGTAAATAAAAGAAGCATATAATTTTAATAACCTGACAATATTAATCTAATCTGTTTCTTAATATTTTAAGGGAATACTTCTAAAATATTTCAGATTCCAATATCAAGAAACATCAACACTGTGTGGACTCAAACACACACAAAGTCAATAGATATTTTGATGCAAAATATATAGATCATATTAATTTACATTAAATTAATAGTTCAAACTCCTTTCTCTCACTGTGATATAATTACTAATTCGTGCATTTTGGTTACAGGCGCATATGGCAAAATTCACAATTAGAATCCCTGTACCAAAACTCTGAACTATATGAATTGAAAAGATATCAGTGGGATTGCAAGGACCAGCTTACAAAACAAATTCCCTCAAAGTGTTTTTTGTAGCAAGATGATAATTTAAGTTGCTAGCAATTACCTATTTCCAATCTTAGGGGGAAAAAAATCACTGATGTTATTAAAGCGTTATGAGAACGAATTACTAATGGCATTTAGTGAGTTACTCAATAAAAGAAATCCAAACTGGATCAATACATTAGATATGTTTTTAGAAAATAAGGGATTATACAAAAAGCTAGATTAGTGGAACTAGATATAATGGTTTGTGTATTTACTGAGCTGTAACGAAAGTGAAAGTTAGGGTATTATTGCAGAGATTTGATGATATGGTCCACTGTTCACCTAAGACCACCGAACATAGCATTCTTAAACCTGCTTCATATCTCAGTTTTCAGAGTCACTGAGCATTTCCTTCGAGCGTACTTCTGTTCAGCTGAGATACAGTCAGACTGCATTTACAATATCTGTACATAAAACAAGGGAATCGCAGGGCATCGTTTCTCATAAAATGAATAAATAGTATATAATTCAATGCTTTATAATAAATAGTATATATTTCAAGTATAATAATCAATGTAATATACACTGGAGAAACCATACACCCATATGTGTGTGTCTATTATATTGATAATAAGAGTACATTTGCTATTTTATATATTTTCCTTACCAGTCAAGTTCTTCAATCCAAGTTCTTGAAGTCCAAAGTTTCCATCTTTTCTGTAGTTTAAAAATATTGCCAAGGCATATCGATCTTCATAAAGTTTTGTCCCACGAATAATGCGTAAATTCTCCAGAGGCAGATAGCGAAACTGATTAAGAGCCACCAACACGTAGCCTGTGACTTCTCTTATAGACTGAAAAGACACAAACAATTGCCTGTGTTAAATAATTGAAAACTGTTTGTCAGTATGTTTATGTAGTCATTTAGATAAAAATGAGTTATTTAATTCCAATTTTCAGCTTTTAATTGAATACGCTAATTTCCACATTATACTATAAATAATTGCCTTGACACAAAAGATCACAAGGGTTAGAATCTCATTTGAAGAATTAGCTGTATTTTTTTAAAAGTCATGAGTGTGTTTATAGTAAAAAGAATGAATTTTATTGTATGAAGCATTCCTCATATTTGAGATCTGAATATAATGAAAGGAATAAAGATCTCATTCTCCGACAGACTAAAATGAGGTAAGAACACATAACCATCAATCAAACTTTATATCAAAAAAAAACAAATTGGTAAGCTTATCACAAATAAAACAAAGATGCCTTAGTTTGTGGACTGTAGACTGTGGGACAGATTTCAAGCTGCTAGTGTTTAAATCTATAGTTATCAAAGAACAATTGCCTTATACATCTCTGGCAAATATATGCATATATTTATATATAAAAATATGCATTAGATACTGATTATGGTTTCTAATTTGACTACAACCACAATTTTTATTTTGACTGCTTATTGTTTAAATGTAGTTGTCTATAATATAAGTTAATTACTTAAAGGTTTGTGAGACATTTTAAAGCAAAAAAAAGTCACAAAAAAGGCCTTAGGCTTCATCTAAAGCTATAGATTTTAGTAAAATGCAAATAATGACAGTAGTGGTTATACATCTTATTTTTTAAATTAAACACAATTCAAAAGTGCTCAAATATTTGATATTATTTAATGTCAATTTCATGCTATTTTAGATCTCTTAATTTCAGATGTCCCAATGCTCAGTCCTTGGTCCTCTCTTCTATCTACTCTTCCCCCTTGTGTTACCCAATTTTAAGGCTGATGATCTCCAAACTTTTACATCCAAACTCTCTCCTAAACTCCAGACTCATAACCAAGCCTACTCTGCATCTTCACTTGGATGCCTCATAGGCTTCTCAGATACACCTTCCCAAGACTGAACATATATCTTCTTTACCCATCCTCCCAACAGTCTTGGTCATCTTAGTTGATGTCAATCCATCCTTCCTGTTATTCAGGCCAAAGTCTTGGGATCATTCTTGACTTCCCTTTCCCACACCAAATGCAATTCATCCTATTTGTTCTATCTTTAAAAGGATTAGCAATTCAACCACTTAGGGCATCCACTGGTATCCTCTGAGCCACCGTCATTCTTCATCAAGATTACTGTAATGGGTCTCCCTCTTTCTATGCTTGATCCCTTTTGGTGTATTCTCAGTTAAGGCTAGCCCTGATGTTTTTAAAACATAGATCAAATCATGACACTTCAATTCTTAAAACTGAAATGCCTCCCAAATCACTCAGGGTAATAGTCAAAGTTCTTTCAAGGATGAGTCAAAACCTATATCTGTGTTGGCCAGTAGAGCAACCACTAATCATACGTGGCTATTGAACAACTGAAATGTAGCTCGTACGAACTGAGATGTGTTGTCGTGTGAAATACACTCTGGATTTCAAAGATTGCATGTTGAAATGAAAACATTTTAGATAAACTGATTTTTACTAGATGCATTATTAAAGTTGATTTTTACCTGTTTCTTTGTACCTTTTTTTTGTGGCTACATGAAAATTTTAAATTACATTTTTATGGCACTCATTGTATTTCTACTGGACAGTGCTACACTGTATGATCTGGTCATCATTCTTTTTCTGACTTCTCTTTTTAACTCTACACCTTGCTCGCTCTTTCCAGATTTGCTGGTCTCTTTGTTGTTCTTTCAACATGCTGAGAATTGTCCTACCTCGAGGTGCTCACTGTACTTTTAAGGGCCTGAGCGTCTCTTCCTCTTGTTATCTTCTTGGCTGATTTCCTCACTGCCTTCAAGTTTTTGCTCAAATCTACCTTCTCAGTTGAGGCCAAGCCTGACTGATCTATTTAACATGGCAACCCTCCCATCTTTCCTTTCTCTAATTTTTATTGTTTCTACAGTACTTCTCACACGCTAACATACTATATAGTTTATATATTTACTACATTTAGTATTTATAGTCTTTTTCTCTATTTCCCAGAATATAAGCACTATAAGGGCAAGCATTTTAATTTGTTCACTCATGTTTCCCAGGGGACCAGAACAGTGCTAGTACTTAGTAAGAAACCAACAAATGTTTGCTGAACACTCTGGCTCTTCTCTGGCCATACCTTCACCACTAGGTAGTCTACGGAGTCCAGAGGAGTACCCACCCGCAGGCTGCAATGCCCTCTTCTAGACAGATCATGCTCCAAAACCCTGTGAACCCAGAATTCCATTCCTCAAAAGCCACCCCCCACACCCGAGTACAGGGCCTGTAATATCATCTTTCCCAGTTCTGTTCTGTCCCCCAGACCACAGACTGTGCCACCAATTTGCATACAGTTAAGAAAGATGGGTGGTCCAGGTGCAGATGTTTAAGGGGAGAGTGTATGGATCCTGGATGTGTGGACTAGAGTGTCCATTCACTTGTGTGCAAGACCTCCCACAAAACTGGATAGAACTAGGTGAAGGAGGGGCTGGAAGCTGGAGGCCATCTCTCTCTATGCCACCATATTCCTGAGGAGTCCAAAAATTCTAACATTCACTTGGCTTTCCGGGTTGTTATAAAGATATATCCATCAAAATGGGAGGATAGAACTTATTTTATTGAATAACATTTGCTTGATTTATAATAAGCCCCACAATATGTAGGCTTCCATGTATATTGTCCCAGGTCCACAATTCTTTTTTTTTAAATTCTTTTAATTGATTAATTTATTTATATTTTTGACTGCACATGGGCTTTCTCCAGTTGCAGCGAGCAGGGGTTACTCTTCGCTGCGGTGCGCAGGCTTCTCATTGCGGTGGCTTCTCTTGTTGCAGAGCATGGGCTCTAGGCATGCTGGCTTCAGTAGTTTTGGCTCACGGGCTCTAGGGCGCAGGCTCAGTAGTTGTGGTGCACGGGCTTAGTTGCTCCGCGGCATGTGGGATCTTCCCGGACCAGGGCTCGAACCCATGTCCCCCGCATTGGCAGGCAGATTCTTAATTGCTGCGCCACCAGGGAAGGCCCCAGGTCCACAATTCTTAAGGATAAACATGCTACCACTCATCATCGTGATGAGTAGAATGCTAATAGAGCAAAGGTGGCAACAAAGAGGCAAGGGACACATGAAACTACTCATGTCTGGCATCAAATTGGGAACTCTATGTCACAACGGGAATTCCTGAGACACTGAGCATTTTGGATTGAAGAGATGAATGTTCTGGGGAATGGGAAGAGGGGTTAAAGATCAGCAGTGGCATGCATTGTTTGCATGCTACAATTTGTTTTAAAATCACACTTGCCTGGAATAGTGGAGACCTAGAGCCCTACAAGTTCTCCTTCAACCACTGTTCCAATGATTGTGCTGTTATCCCTTTGAGTTCTCAAAAGAGAGATCATAAACAATTTCTAACATCATTTGGTCTAAAAAGTAAAATTATTTCATTCATTATAAAAATTATTTTTTTGGCTTATATATAATTATTATCAGCTGCTCTAGGTTACAGTAATAGCACTATAATAAATGTTGGGGCAGAGGATATATTATCAATCCTTTGTCTAAAACATATTATAATATCCATCAGTCTTCCTAACAAACTCACCATTAGCTCTAACTTCACCTAAGAAGTGGATCTTTTTAACAAAAACTGTAAAAATCTCTTGGCTTATCTTAGGATAGAAGGTCACATTGATGGGATTATCAGAGAAAACACAGGTGAAGCACATTCAGGAAAATGAAGAGGTTTATGAGCAAAGACACAATGTCAGTAGGCAATTCTGCAGTGTTCATTAGAGGGATAAATTCTTTTTAGCTATTAATTGATACAGATGCACCATTTGGCATGGCTTTTGGACCACACATTAGCAGAGGCTACAAATAATCCACAAATAATAAAGCCTTTAGTATAAAAAGTGTTATGGATATAAGCCAAGAACAATGGTGAAAATATAGAGAAAAATCAACTAATCATAGAAGAGGATGCTCCAAGTGCCTTTAGCTACATGAGAAAGTAAAATATAACTAAGAGCATCTTTGTTTTCACATATTATTTAATGTATAAATATTTGAATTAATTGCATTGTAAAATGTATGTACTCCTCATTCCAGAGTGTGCATTAAAGCATTCTTAGAAACATTTTTGTTATCTTCATAAAAGGTCAGGTTAATAGCAACAGCTACTCCCTTGTCCAGATTCTGGGACTGGAGGGATTTACTGTTTTAATTGAGATTCTTGTGTCTAAAATGAGTCTCTTTCATTACCCATTCTGCTTATTTATTACCCTCTGGTCTTGCAAAATAATGCATGTAACTTAACCATTACCTTAACAAATAATCCTTTTGCAGTGGGAACTCTGGGCATCATGATGTGTTAATGCTGAGAAAGCATATGTTCAAACCATTTTGAACAAAGCCGCCCATGAGTAGGTGATATGTAATTCATTCATGATGAATTATTTGCTAATAATGATGGTGAAGATCCTATTCACTCATCCCACATACCACTAACTCCTACACAGCAAATAATGTAAATATTAAGAGGAAAAAGATTATAGCAAATCCCTCAACCCAAGATTTATATCTGGAGGGGCTCATAGAATCAAAGAATTTTTAAAGAATTATGGGAGATGAATATAAAATTCTTATATTTAAAAGCCACAAATATGCCTTGATTTTGTCCTCCTAAGTTTTCTGTTTTCCGGAATTCAGAGCCACATTCTTGTAGGTACTCTTAAAACCTTTCTGGGAACAAATATCTTGAAACATCTCAATGGGAAACGCCACTGCAGATAACATGAGCTACCAGGCATACTGATTGCAAATAAAATTACAGGAAGCAACTTAGTAATGGCAGGATTGCTTAATAATGAAAAAGGGTCAGTAACGTGCTTATGAGTTAATATCAG